ACGCTAATGGAAACTACCTAGAAGGTAGTTCTAAGCACCTTGGTCACTGCTCTTCAGTTTTGTTCATAGTTCACGCAGCCCTGGTGATGAATTCCAGAAGACTCAAACAGGAAGCAGGCACAGACACGTGAGCCAAAACTAGAGATAAAGATGTAGCATGTGGCAGAGTGATTTACACAAAGGGCTTTTCTAGGTGACAAGAGGTCCTGCAGCCCTTGGATGTGACTGACCCTCAAGGGGCACAGTGGTGTGGCAGTCACGAGGGACCAACAAGATGCCATGTACTAATGGGGACACAGCAGTAGAGGATCAGATCTTGCTTCCAAAGTACTGGCTAGCTCCCTGGTTCTTTGTTTTACTGCAAATCGTCTTGCATCTCACTTGGGTCCTCCCCAAGAAAAGACCCCCGTGACATTATTAGCTAACAGGTGTTAAGTATCATTTAGAGTTCTTTTCCATAGGTAGTGAGCATGCTGTACATAAAACATTGGCAGGAAGTGGTTTATTTTCTGTTACACTCCCATCTATTGTGTAGTTGTGGAAACACAGGACTGGTTTGGGTGGAACACCAAATGGAGATTGGCTCCATGAAGATCTTAAAACCAGTTTGATGGGCATAGCCCAATAACAGTTCTAGCGAGAGATACATATACAGTGTGTGTGTGTATACGCACACACTACCAGCATACTCCTAGGCCTTAACCAAAATGTTTGAGATTCCTTTTACCATTTGTAAAAAAATATATATATATCAATATTTGAACATAATACATTGTACTTAAAATAAAAGTCTTCAAACAATATATTGTGTTAACACTTCAGAGTGGCCATTTATGACTTGTGAATGGTTAGGTCTTTACAACAGGCTCAGGTATATGCTTAGCACAATATTGGGTGTTACAGCCATACAACATCTGGCTGCAACATCTTCCCTGCTATACCAGCATGGCAACCATCTTAGTGGGATGCAACCAACACGGCATGTGATGTGGAATGCACAGGAATGAATACACCACAGACCAAAGTACGTTCACATAATGCAGACTGAACACACTTAATTCTAGACATTGACATTCCTTTAGCTTTCCCTGAGCATTAAGAGGAAGACAGCATTGTCAAAGACGGTGTTTGTGACTGCGTGGCCAAAACCTGCCCCTTGTGTGTCATGACCACCATCTTGACTTTCTTGACCTGCCCTGCTTCTGATTCAATGCATGGAAGCAATGAGATGATGTGATAAGACTGCATTTGAATGGAATCTTCAGAGGCGTACTACAAATAGTCACGTATCCCAGATTACAAGAAACATCGTTGAAATGTGGTTAACTAAAGATTACATTTGTTTGCAAAATTAAATGCTAGGACTTTTGGTCTAAGTGAGTCTGTATTCTCTCTCCAGATGGGCTTCAGCAAAAGTCTTGAGCCTTACAGAGAGCCACATATGAAACTGGGCACTTTCTGCTCTCTTACATGGAGCAATGTCCTTCACACCCATAAAATAAATCAAGATTGGCCACTTGCCTGGTGCTAAATAGTCAACAAAGCTTCAATCAGTTAACTTTATTCCACATTTTAAAAAAATTACAACAGAACAAGGATCTGAAAAGCCAAGGGACTTCATTTTCATCCACTCCACACGCATACTTGCTAAGTCACACACATAATCAGCTGCTTTAAACATGATCTGCTGAGTTTCAGCAGGACGGTTTCATCAGAGAAGGCCCAAACAAGTTACTGTATGTCCTAAAGGCTGATATACTTAATTCTCAAACTGGGCAAAGGTACAAAACAGAAATGGCAACAGACCTTGAATGGGCTCCTTTTTCACCTTTGTTTTATCATCTGTTGCATTTTATTCGTCGATTTGGCGGCTCCCTCCAGTGTTATGCCCAGACTCAAAATAACTTCAAATAACCCTCTAAGACTGAACTGCCTGAGTCTTGTTTATATGACTGAGAACGGTTTGCTAAAATGCACCAAGCAATCCTCTGCAGGGCTCTGGAATCTGCAGATGCGAAATTTCTTACCCTTAGCAAGGCCCTGCTCACTTGCAGCGGGCAATATTTTTTCTGCATGGCCGATGTCAAAAGTGGCAAGCCGTGCCAACAGACATAGGGGGAATATTCATGGACTGCTTTAGTCTGACACGCCTCTTAGGGTGGAGGATTGGGACCCTCTTTAACACCATGGTGGAAACATGATTGGTAGACCAAGTTCTCTCAGAAAGGGAAAGAAACGCTTGAATTGGCTTCTAAATAGAGAAACACGTACATCTTCTTCAAAATATACCAAGTGACAGCCCTGTGGCTTCACCTCTCTTCTTCCTCACCTCTATTCCATCCATTTCGTATATGTATTTCTTTAAATGCTGAAGTGCCCAAATAAGGGTGTTAGCCCCCCCCCCGCAACAGCACCCCTTTGGACACCTCTTAGAACATGCAATTCAACTCACAAAAAGGTAAGGCACTATACAAAAAGCCATGAGACGAGCCGAACATTTCATGCCAGAATCCAACGGCAAACGTGAAGACTGGATTTTAGGTGATCCGGTGCAAGCAGTAGGAAGCACTGCTTGCTGCTTTCACCTGAAGGGCCACACACTACAGCCCCGAAGAAGACAAGGTACGTCTAAGCCCATTACGGCTACGTCTTTCTTTGTGCTGGTGGGGTAAATCCTGGGGAAGGAAACGGCAACGCTCCATCTATGCTATGCCCAGAGAACTCATTCACCCAACTCATAATCTTCTCTGGGACTTCAACCACAAATTCAGGGGTGTCCACGCCAAGCCCTCCGTGATGCCCAAATGATCCACGCATGTCATTGTGCAAACACCGCTCTGGCGAATTTGCACCTTGACATCAGACATGAGGACATTAAGTGCCAATGTGTGACGTCTTTGTCGTGCAGGTCTCTTCCTCCCACCCCCTGCAGATGCCCAGGCACAGGACAGAACCGCGTGATGCCATAACAGAATGAAAACTCATCCCTATTCGACTTAAGACAACCCTCAAAATAAGCTTGTTTTTTACAAATCATCAGGAAATACATACCTCCTCAAGAGTTGCACTGAATCTTCTGATTACAAGGATGCTGGGACGGGGACAATCTTTTTTTGATTTTTAAGCATGTTTTAAGCATAATTATCATTAGGAAATAAGTGGTATTTCATTACAGCATTAAGACCCATTAAACCCAATTGACGTTAAATGCACACACTCCTTGCCCAGGCCTGGAACATCTCCTTAGACGCAGGCCAATGCTCACGTTCTCCTGTGGCTTCAAAGCCCCACTACCAAACCATGGCAGCCTGCTACTACAACACCTCCCTTTCTGACCGGCTAAACACAAACCACGTTCCCCTTCAAAGCAGTTCGGTTAGCCTGCTTCCAAAGAGAGCCCGTGAACCGGGAGCCCAATGAAAGCAAGCTTCGTTGTGAAGGAACGGGGCACAAGCAGGGGGTCTGACACATACACTTGTCTTCCCCAGGTTGAGGCCATCCACGTGGGATGAATTCCCTGGCGCTTCACCAGCAGACTCGTGGGGTACGCTGCTTGGGCGGGGGGGGGCGGGTTCTAGAAATTGAAATTCAACTCGGGTGGCAAGCCCCAGTTAGGGAAAGACGGCTGGACAGAGTTTTCTCATAGATGCTGAAACATTGCCAAGAGCTTCAACAAGAAGGGCACAGCCTCTGCTCTGCGAGGACCGAAGGCCTTGCCTGTGCCTGAATCCCGCCTGCACAATGATACGCTTGTGAAACCCAGCAGCTGAACTAAGGCAGCTTCTTCAAAAACAAGTTGACCGGCTTAAGAAACCTCCGACAGGCGGCCTTCAAAACTAACTTCTTCTGAACTTCAAAACATACTTCCTTTTGAATTACAAGTTTCCTGAGTTCCTAACACCACCTCCAGTGCACAGGGGGGCTTTCTGACAAACCTGCTGGCCTACTTTACAACAAACTGCTGCGGTGAAATGAAAGAGGCAACTGAGAGTTTGCTGGCTTAAGAGTTTTTGCATCTGCAGGCCTGACCTCAATGCCTCTTCTTCTTTGAACTCAATTCTAGACATACCCAAATAGCAGAAGAGGACTTCCCTTCAGGGAGAACAAACAGCCACTTGACACAAGCATCCACAGGCAGACTGCAGCCTGCTCCTATAGTTGCTCCATATTTAGCACTGAGATTCTGAACCTAAAAAGGAATGATCCGGTGAGGTGAGGAAATCTTAGATCCTGCCTAGCCTTGCAGGCTTTGGGTCCTCCAGTGGGGGAATCACAGGCCCTGTGAGATGGTCACCCACCCAAACACACCTCACAGGCCTTGGGGCAAACAGAAGAATTACACAATGGCGCTAAACACCACCTGCAACTTTTTGTTTCAGAGATTGTTTTTTTGGCTAGCAAATTCCAGTATTTATACGTGTCTCATGATTGGCCATTGTGGCTCCAGACACAGTCTTTCAAAAAGAGGAGAAATCAA